TTTTCAGGAGTAGGATTAGAGACATAGGAAGTGTATGGGTTCAAGAGGAAGATAAGATAACTTATATGAAAGTGAAGAGGGATGCAACAAGGCACCACTTAGTGACAGGGATATTATCTGAAAGTGTGTCATGTGAACATTCTAGAAGAGCTTTGACTAAGGTGTCTGTGTTGTTACTAGGCACTGTGGTCTTTGGGAACCATTATCATATATGTGGTTGAATGGCTTCCTGGGAAGATGAAACATTACTAAAACACATAACTGTATTTATAACTCACACAGAAACTACTGGATGACTGGGTAGGCAAAAATTCTTCAGAAGAAGACAAAGCTGCCAAAGAATCTTTGCTCACAGTGAGTGATCTGATTCGGCTGAGGGAGGACAAACTATAGGGACCAAATGAGGACTCCAGAACACCCACAGGAAAGTGATAGCTCAGAATGTTCTGTCCACTTTGCAGCCAGTCCCACGTCTAGAGGAAGATGCCCTCGTGGAATTGTCCCCGTAGCCCCAGTAGCCAGGACACTGCATGGTAGCATCTCAACTGAGAAGTTACCCACATGATACTGTGTAAATTCTCAACCCTGACAAGTAGGCAGCAGCTGCGCTGTTGTACAGATGAAAAACAGCAGGTCCATTTGTCCTAAGGACCATCCCAGCTGCTGTGAGGTTGGGCTGGGATCAAGTACATGGCGACTGGGAAGTTACTTCATACCATCTCACTGGGAATGCTTATCTCCATGCTGCTGTTTCCTTTCCTGGTCTGGTAGATACTCATTTCTGATAATAATAAAAAAAAGCCTGTCTAATTGTAAACTACAGACAATAGGAAAATAAATTTAATTAGTGAAGTATTTGCAGAATATTTTCTCCTAAGAAGAAAGCAAAATACAAAGGCCTAAAGTTCTGGTCCTAAGTAAACTTATGTAGTGTGTAGGAAGATATGGAAAAATACATGAAAATTCATAACAGGAGTTTTGAGAAATGTGTGAGTCTTAAGACATGCTGAAAGTACAAAAGAGGTGTGGTTCCTCAGGGACCAGGTTGTCAGGGAGGCATTCATAACAGAGCTACAGCGTGGGCTGTGCCTGAGGGGGAAAGAGAATGCCTTGCAGATGGTGACAACTGTGTACAGTGGCACCCTAGGGCCTGTGCATAGAAAGTTCTAGATTCCCTTGTCACACTGTGTTCTCAGTGAGTCTGTGAAATGAAGTTCATCTTATTCCTGTTCTAAAAGTAATGTTTACAATAGTTAAAACATGCACAAGAGGAGCTGTCAGTAATAACTCTCAAAGTTAGGCATGATGGCATGCAGCTGTAATCTCAATACTGTAGACATGGAGACAGGAAGATCAAGAGCTCAAGGACATCCTTAGCTTCATAACCAGTTCATGGCTATCATGAGCTACATGGATGAGACCTGTCTGCAAAACAGACAGACAAATAATGCCCCAAAGACAAGCAGGATTTTTTTTTTTTGAAACAGGATTTCTATGTGTAAACCTGGCTGTCGTGGAACTTGCTCTGCAGACCAGGCTGGCCTTGAACTCAAGAGATCTGCCTGCCTCTGCCTCCCAAGTGCTAGAATTAAAGGTATTTGCCACCACTGCCTGGGGACAAGCAGAATCTATCTATCTATCTATCTATCTATCTATCTATCTATCTATCTATCATTTATTTGTTTTTGCTTTTTAATTATACTTTCATTCAAAGTATTTTGATCATATTCACCTCTCATTCCTCCCCCTAATTTCTTCTAGAGCCACTCTTTCACTTTTAATAACTCATGGAGTCCAATTTGTGCTGTCCATATACTCCTGGGTGTGGGACTGTCTACTAGAATGTAGTGACCTGCCAGAGCTACACCTTACAAGAAACTGACATTCCCTCCCCAGAAGCCATCAACTGTCAGTAGTTCCTCAGCTAAGGGTGGGGGCTTTGGAGCCCTTCCTTAAACAGAATATTTTGATAGATACAATTTTAGACTTTTTCATTGGTATGGTATTTTATTCAAGCTAGAAATTCTGTATTTCTGACTCAGGGTGGTTTCTGAGTAATTGTGTGATTCTGGCAACACAATAGAAACCAGACCATGAGAGTCAACCACATTGTCATGAATTAGAAAAATTGTAAATTTGAATGAAGATTTAACCTATGTGTCATGGTTCCAATAGGAAGTTTCTCTCCACAGTCTCAGGTGCTGAAAGCTTGACCTCTGTTGGTGGTGGGTGCTGTTTTAGAAGCCTGTGGAAATACTAAGAGGCAGGGCCTGGTTGAAGGAAGTAGGCCATTGAATGTTGTGTGTTGCCCTGGACCTTCTTCCTATCTCCACTTGCCAGCTTCCGTGAGATGTGTAGCCATTGAACGTTGTATCTTGTCCTGGCCTCCTCCTCCTGTCTGTGCCTGCCACCTTCCGTGAGATGGGCATCTTTGCTCCACTGCATCTTCCCTGTCACCATCAACATACTAAGCCTTACCTGAGGTCCACAGTAACAAAGCCAACCAACTAAGGACTAAAACTGAGACAAAATAAATCCTTCATTGTAAGTTGTTTTACTTTACCCAATAGGCTCAAGGATGCCCTAAGAGAATAGTAAGCCCCAGGTTATGTTCCCACAGAGCAAAGGCTAAATAAGCTCCTCACTGACTGAGGACCCATCCTGGCCCTGCACCTTTACCACGAATATGCTTCCGCTGTTCTCCACTTCATGAAGTGGTACCGCATCACCCTCATTCCATAGACTCCTTCATGCCTTCTCCCTCCTGCTCCTAAGCTGAGGAAGAGTACGTATCACCATCTGCCGAGTTGACTCCTGGTTTTGGTCACATTGTGCCTTGGGATTGACTTCTGTGCATCTCCACACTTCATCACCAGTTTCCAGAAGAAATTCTCTCAGACTTCAGCCCAGTTTCTTCCTGTTGTGTTCCTGACATCACAGCACCTGTCAGCTCTCTCTCTCTCTCTCTGCATGTCAGCATGCTCTCCTGCTCACCCTTGTGGGCTCATGTGTGCTTGAGACAAGTTTCCAGCTTGGGCCACTGTCTCTGTGAGCCTGTTTCCAGGCTGAGTGTGGTCACAACAGGGCCATCTTCTGTTTTCGATGTACCTTCTCTTGACATTCCCACCAAGGTGGGTACTTGTACTCTGTGTGCTGTTTTAGATGGCTTTGTCCTTCTCTGTGCTAGGTACATGGGAGATAGACCTCCAGCAGACATTGCAGCCTTGCTAACGCTTAAGTAGTGGATGGCATCAGCATGTACGTATTTCTCTACCCTGATGCTGCAATAGGCAATGCAACCAAGTCTATACCCTAGTCCTTTAAACAGTAGTACAGCAGATGGATAGAAATGGGAAAGGCTGTGTTTAGTTTCCTCTGAGAACGGGTTTCTGGTTTCTCAGGTATGTCTGGGCCCACCCAAACAGGTCTGCTTCTGGCAGACTTGAAAAGCCCGCGATCATTGAACAGTAAGAAATGACTAGATAGCAAGAGCAAAATGGCTTATTTCTCTTCTTGAACCTGTCATCTCTTTTCTTCCCAGGATAGAATTTTAGAAATAGAATTATCTTTGATACTAAGATCATGGCTATTATTTTCTGCCAAAAATTATAGTTCCAGTATCATTTCATGATTCCCAGTGGCTAGCTGATAGAAGTTCTCTGTCTGCTTTATGGTCACATTACAATGAGGGCCTGTAGCAGTAGTTCACATTTACTAAGCATTTGCTCTATACCATGTGCTGCATTGGTCACTGTCCAAGTCTTTAAATTCATGACACTCATTTTAGGTGGATACTATTGTTATTCCCATTTTATAAGTGAGAAAACCGCAGAACAAAAGAATTCATTAGCTACCTGCCGGTCAAGTAGCCCCTAAGGAACAGAGCCATCTTTTAACCTCTATCTGACTTAAAGTCTCTGGTTTTACCATATACTATGCTTTTGTACATTTATTTTTTAGCGTTTTTTTCCTACCTGTTTTTATTGTTGTTGTTTGGTGTTTTGTTTTTGTTTGTTTGATTTAGGTTTAGATTTGTGGTACCAGATATTAAGCCTAAGGACTGATAGTAGCCAAGGGCTTTCCCATTGAGATATACCCCCACCCCTGTAATAGTTATTAACTCATACAACATAGAAATCTAGTTGTAAACTGAAATAATGAAGCTTATCGCCGTGTGTACTATGTTAAGTTTCTCCATTTCACTGATCTCATTGTTTCTCTCATTAAATTACTGAGGTAAATCATACACTTGGACTGATTGTTGCTGTTGTTGTTTTTAATATGACCACAGAATACATTTCTCACTGTCTGTGACTCCCACTCCTCATGGGCGTGCTTGTCAGTGTTGTGATAGCACGTGGGGAAGCAGATGCTTGCACTCTTGAGAAACGAAGAACTAGTTTCAGACAGCGAGACAGACCACAGTCACATGGCTCTGGCTGTCCGATCCTGGCAAATCTCCCTTGTTTCGTTTGGATCTTTATGGTTGCTACTCAGCTGGGAAGAAGTGAGGTGGAGGGGGTTAATTCACTTGCAGTTGTTAAGAGTTGTTTAAAGATACAGTCAGAGGATCATTCTAAATTGTCCGTAAGAGGTGGAGTCTAGCCCACAGTTACCCCTCTTTTCACCAGTGAAATATTTGAGATAATAGTGTCTCTTCAAGACTGACTTACACTGAAGAATAATCCAGTGATTTTCTTTCAATTTCTGCTCATCCCTTTATTTATTTGATTGATTGGTTTGTTTGTTTGTGTGTGGGTAGTGAGGTAGTACACATGTGCCTTGGCCTATATGTGGAGGTTAAAGAACAGTTTGTGGGTCCAGAGACTGAGCTCAAGTGTTCACGCCTGGCAGCAGGTGCTCTTGTCCTCTGAGCCATTTCTCTGGCCGCTCATCTCTAATATATGGTTCAGTTTCAAAATGTTTCACCAACATGTTTTCACTAAAATATCTAACCTCATCCTCTGGTTGTTCTAACAGTAAGTTTTATCTGTCTACAGGAGGATCTTAAAAAGTGAGCCTCCATATCCCCAGGAAATGAGCACTCTAGCTAAAGACCTGCTTCAGCGCCTTCTGATGAAGGATCCCAAGAAGCGTTTGGGATGTGGCCCCCGGGATGCAGAGGAAATCAAAGAGCATCTCTTCTTTCAGGTGAAATTTAGGAGATGAGTGTACTTAGCCCCCTTGGGGTCACTTCACCCTTTCACCTATACCTTAGTCCCCCAATTATTATAACAGATGCCACTTAGGAAGGACAAGAATTCTACTTGTATAGACATGAAGCAGCAGGAGTGAAGAAGATCATGGTATGGAGAAGATCATCTTCTCCATAGTGAAGTCCAACCTCTGACATCAAGGCAGGATGCTGTCAGCTACAGAGCTCAGGCTTGAAAAAATGGAAAAATTGAGTTGCTAAAATAATGCCCCTTGAAGTCTCATGTTTTTATCAGGCTTATAAAGTTGTGTTAGGCCACATTCATGGCCAGCAAGGGTTGTGTGTGACCTGCTGGTTGGACATAGCTGGTCAAGTTCTAGGTAGTGGTTTCTGTAGGTGACTTTGGGGTTTGCTCATGGACTGACAAGTTCATGAGCTGTTGTACCAGGTTTCACCTTTTGGTCACCAATTCCAGTGCCTCTTCTGTTTCCAGGAAAAATCTTAGAATATTCTGAACCTGCCTGTTTCTCAGCCAGTGTTTGTGTCGTACGTTTCCATTTGCTTTCTTTGCTCTATAACAGTGGTTTTCTTCTGAAAAAGCCAAATAACAGTATTGCACAGAACACTAGCACATCTGCCAATTTTATTTACTCAGTTTATTCCAAAAAAAAGACTAATAAATATAATTGGGGGGCCACTGCTTAGTAATTTCAGTCTAAATGGTAACCTGGAGTGGCAAGGCCTCATTTCTAAAATTCTAAACATATGCCTTCTAAATGACTTCACATACCAACAAGCATGCCCTTAATGTTTAATGGTCTAGAGGATTCATCCACATTATATGTTTTTATTCTATAAACTTTTGTATTCTCACCAGAACAAATGAACAAAAGTATAGCAAGCAAAGAAGAAACAATTATTTCAAGTGAGCTTTCATGGTGTTATTTATTGCTTTTTAAATATAAAAAATCAAGGCTGGGTGTATCTATTGCCTGTTGTGCATGAGGGCTGGGAGTGTTATCCTCATTGGAAATGAGATCTCTTTACTTCTCTCTGTGAACACGGTATTTATTTTAGTCTATCCAACCATTTTTTAAAATATTACTGTAAAACTTAAAAAGTTCAGCAACACTGAGACAAACACATTTAGAATAAAATGAACTTAAGTATTGTGCATTGACTGAGAAATAGCACTTTTTGAACAAAAATATCTTGTTCATATTTTGACTTAAAATTAACAAGTAAGTAAAATTCAAACAGAATGCCACCATTGTCTTTTTATACAACCCTTTTCTTTATTGTTCCCTGTGCTTGTGAATATTGCCGTACGTCTTTAGAATATGGAGGTATTTGTCTTCTTGATAGCTTGGAATAGTAATTTTGAGTTATGTAATTGCTTTCATTTTTAAATGATAGGGGTAGACCAGTAATCTGCTTACAAAGATCTAAATGATCTTTTCTCTGTCATGGTATAGAGGTGAGAAGAATCATAATAGCATTCAATTTTCTACATATTGAACATTCTTCTGGTAACAGCATTTCTTTAAATTACCCCTTTACTCTAGAAGTTTGTTGTTTTTAAAGATTCTTTTTAAAAATTTTAGTGTGTGTATGTGTGTGTATGCGTGCGCCAAAAGACAACTCCTGGGAGTCAGTTCTTTTCTTCAACAATGTAGGACTCTGAGGATCAAAGTCGGATTGTCATGTTTGGCAGCAAATACCTTTACTGAGCCATTTCACCTGCCCTAGAATTTGCCTTAATGTTTGTTCAGTAAATGAAGCAAAAACCATATTCCTATAATAGAAGTCATTACAGCCACGTAGAGGAATGAACACTAACTAGAGAGTTAAGATTCTTTAAGACTCAGTGGAGTGAGTACTGTCTGAGGATATTTTAATTGACAGAAGGAGCATAAATAAACAACAGAGGGTTGAATTTGAATAATACAAACTATGTCAGTTACTCAGACAGTGTGTATGGGGGGAGACAAAAGGCAGTATCTAAATATTGATTGGGGTTGAATGAGAAAAGAACTACTGTGGCAGTGCTATTTAAACCTCAAGTATAAGCAAACACTTGATTTCATAATCTGTCCAGGTGACCTAAAGGAAAGCCAGTGGAAGAGCGGAACTTAGTGAGCCCCTAAGGAGTTAGCATCACATTTACAAAATGCTTTGAAGCCCTTTATAGTAGTATTTTATGGCTTTGGGGAGTTGTTGGTTTATTTTCATTTTGACTCAATTCTTTTCTGCTAAAGCTCAGGACAAAAATATATTTTTTCTGTTATTTCTGAGGGTGATCCAGGGAGAACCAGAGTGTCTTGGTGCCCCCTAGAGGACACTGAGATTCCTGTGGTAGGATGCTACAGTCTGAAAATGGGATCCTGCTTGGAAAAATAATATTTTTAATCCTCAGTTTGAAATATGCACTCTTACTTTTAATCTCACTTATTAGTAACTAAAGTCTTAGCCAAATGTGGTGGCACACACCTTTGAAGCACTTTGTAGACAGGGCAAACAGATCTCTGAGTTCAAGGCCAACATAGGCTACATAGAGCAGTGGTTCTCAACCTGTGGGTCACAAGACCCCTAAACCTTTCACCTGGATTACCTAAGACTACCAGAAAACACAGATATTTATATTATGATTCATAATAGCAAAATCACAGTTATGAAGTGTCAATGAAGTAATTGTATGGTGGGGGTCACCACAGCATGAGGAACTATATTAAAGGGTCACAGCATTAGGAAGGATGAGAACCACTTTCACACAGTTTCAGGCCTGCCAGAGCTAGATACCCTATCTTTAAAAAAACAAAAACACTTAATCATGTTTGTTGCTCATAATGTATTTTGACTTTTGATTTCTGCTCTATCCCAATCTTCTTTTTTTTCTGCTTTAGAAAATAAATTGGGATGACTTAGCTGCCAAAAAAGTGCCTGCACCATTTAAACCAGTAATCCGGGATGAGTTAGATGTGAGTAACTTTGCTGAAGAGTTCACAGAAATGGACCCTACCTATTCTCCTGCAGCCCTGCCCCAGAGCTCTGAGAGGCTGTTTCAGGTAATACTCCAGTGTACCAGTTGTGCTTCAGAAGAGTCATCTTTCCCTAGTAAAGTGGTTTTGTTGGCATCTTAAAATCAGGGTTCTGTAATCTCTTCAATCTCTTAATCTCAGCTATGCTGAGGTACTGTCCTGAAGTTCCCACTTGCTAAATAGAAGATTGGTTAGTTTTTATGTGTTTGCTTTTGGGGTTTTTTGTTTGGGGGTTGTTTTGGTTTTTGTTTGTTTAAATGGGATATTTTGTTTGTTCCTTTGAGACACGGTCCCATTATGTAGCCCTGGCTGTTCTGGAGGTCACTATGTAAACCAGGCTAGTCTTGTACTTTCAGGAATCCATCTGCTTCTGCTTTCCTGTTGCTGCCGTCAGAGGTGTACACCCAAAATCCCAGCCTGTGTTTATTTTTTATGAGCAGATAGTCACTTTATATTTGAGAATTCATTTTTGTTGAGGCTCATCTGAAAATTATGGTGATATTTTATTTTTTTTTTACTCTAGTCTTAGAAAATTCTCCGTGTTCTCTGGACCTATATCTTCAGTGAATAATAAATCATGCATGTTCTCTAATCTTTAAAGTCTTAGCATGATGGTGCCAGATATGTAGAGTCTCTAGCCTGCAGGAAGCTCTCTGGGTTCATCTCTGGCACGGCATAAAACTGAGTGTAGTGGTACACACCATAATCCCAGCATTCCAGAGTTTCAAAAGTTCACAGTCATTGTCAGCTACACAGAAAATTGAAGGCCACCCTAGACTAAATGGAACCCTGTTTCAGATAAATAAACAATATGTTAAATACTTTGGGTTTGTAGGAGGCTTATTTATATAGAGGAACAGAGAACGATGAGGAGGGCTCAGGGAGAGAAATAACTGGTGTGATGGAGCAAATGTGAGCAAAGCACAATGGCAGGTGTAATGGTTAGTGTTAATTGTCAGGCTGACAAAATCTGCAATCAACTGAGGAGTCTAAGTAAGGGGTTGTCTAGATTAAGTTGATGTCTGAGCATGCTATGAGAGATTTTCTTTGTTTCTTTTTTAATCTTTATTTATTTTGTAGCTTTTTGAAACAGTGCTTCTCTGTGTAGACTTGGCTGTCCTGGCACTCACTTTGTAATCCAGGTTGGCCTTGAACTCATAGAGATCCGCCTGCCTCTGCCTCCCAAGTGCTGGGGTTAAGGGTATGAGCCACCACCACCCAGCAGAGAGATTTTCTTCATTGGGTAAACTGAAGTGGGAAGACACACCTTGAACTTGGACAGAGAGGGTAGGTCCTGTTCTGAATGAAAAGGAGAAGGGATGCTGAACATAAGTATTCATTATTCTCTGCTTCTTGACTCTGAGTACAATGTGGCCAGCTGTCTGAAGCTCTTGTTGCCGTGACTTCTGCAGTGATGGACTGTAACCTGGGACTTTGAGCTAAAATGAGCCATTTCTCCCCAAGTTGTTCTCGCCAGAGTATTGTTCAAGGGTTTAGTTTTAGTGGTGTGGGTGTGGGTGGGCGCATGTGGGCACAAGTGCCCATCGAGGCCATAGGAAATTGCTGGGTCCCCTGGGGCTGAAGTTACAAGTTGTGAGCTGCCTGATATGGATGCTGGGAACTGAGCTCAGGTCCTCTGAAAAAGTAGTATGCACTTTTAATTACTGATTCATTTCTTCACCCCCTCTGAGTATTTATTTATTTATTTATTTCAGAGTGTTTTATCACAGCAATATATGTGTGAAAATTTTATAATAAAACACATTGTTTTGTATCTTTAAAATGTTAAAAATAAAGAATTTTTTCTCAGGGAAGTTTCTTTATCAGATAAGATACTCTGCCTATTGAACTGTGTCATAGTTCTACTTCTCTGACCACTGTGCCATCCAGAGGGTGACTCTTGCTTGCTTGCCTATGTCACTGGAGTACCTGGCCAACCATGTGTAGATGTTTGTTGGCAAACTAGTAAATGTCGTTGCACAGAGTAACCATCCATCATTTATCACTGGCTTATCATATCATTCTCCCACTGGGCTTATTATTTTTCCAAAACTCAATTTTAAAATTATTTATTGTAAAACACAGAATGCAAATCTAATAATTGCTAAATTAGAAATAAACCTTAATGAAACTTGTTATTTTTCTAGTATGAAACACTACTTGGACCACTTAATGTGATGTGTCTTTTTTGAAGTCAGTTGAATTTATAAATCAATATTATCATCAATGCAAAAAAATTGCAGGTTTGCATCAGATTTGGGGGGTAGAATAGGAAGTCTTTCTATCTTTATTTTTGAACTGACCTAGTTCTACCAGAAGATGGCATTGTCTCCTCTGAAAAGCATTTTTCTGTTAGTTAATGCTGTATTTCAGATGAAAGTAAAATGATCTCATCTGACCATTTTTCCTGAGAAGAAATCATCACAATCGAGACTGTGTCTAACTGTGAAACTACAAATCTTTGTTCTTTACCATTTCTTCTTTTTTTTTAGGGTTATTCCTTTGTTGCTCCTTCTATCCTTTTCAAGCGTAATGCAGCTGTCATAGATCCTCTTCAATTCCACATGGGAGTTGAACGTCCTGGAGTAACAAATGTTGCCAGGAGTGCAATGATGAAGGTATATAGGTGGGGTTGCCTCAGTGATACATTTATGGTTTGTATGACCGTTTAAATACTAATTGATGTTTTTAAGTCCAGTAAAGTTAGTTGATTATCATGGAACTGAAGGGCAGTTTTAGAAAATGAATAAGTAGGTAGAAATAGCCATGTTTTCCCTAGAGGATTGTTAACATCAACTCGAATGAGCTCCTTTTTACAGTGATAGAGTACAGTGTATCTTGAACAAATATATACATAAGTATATAAATATACTAACTGAATTTTAAAGATTAAATGTATTACATTCAAATTTGCTGATGATTTACTTCATGCTAATTGATAGCTTTGCATATCTTTTGTGTATTACTATTAATCTTTTATTAAATTAAATGATGTTGATTTCTTATCAGGACTCACCTTTCTACCAACACTATGACCTAGATCTGAAGGACAAACCATTGGGAGAAGGAAGTTTTTCGATTTGTCGAAAGTGCGTACACAAAAAAAGTAACCAAGCATTTGCCGTCAAAATAATCAGCAAAAGGTATGGTCAGTCCTAGTGATTCTTAGGTACTTAAACCACTCAGTGAGTTTTGTAATTTAAGATTATGGAGAAGAAATCAACTGTATATTGTAAGGCCTTTATACACAGGCTTAATTAACCATTTACCTTATTAGTTGGCCCCCAAAACATATAGCATTAGGATTTTCTGAAGAATGCAATCAATTGTGGATATAAATCATAATCTGTTGTGTTTTGTGGGAGAATTTTCTTGTGGTGATGATATATCTAAACAGATTTACAGACTTCTTTTAGTTGAATATTTGAAATATTGTTCTCCAAAACTATTTAGCCTCTGGTAGCTTTGAGAACAGGGAGCGAGCCAGCTAGCTGTTCTGGCCATGGATTATTACCTTCATGATTGCATAACATTACCAAATTGTCAGGCAAGAAGAGCATCCATTTCTTTGTATGACTAGTTCTTTTCTGACTCAGAGGGAAATTTTTCTTTTAAAAAGAGTTTGACTTTCCTGGTGGGTGGTATGATTCATTACTTCTGTGGAGATCTCATTTTGAGACTTTGACAAAGGTAGTCTATGTACCCTGTAAATAAAAACAATTAGGGATGGGGTACTGGTGTACAAATCCACTGGTAGAGACACTTAGATGTTAACTGTTTGGTTTTGCAGGATGGAAGCCAATACTCAGAAAGAAATAACAGCTTTGAAACTCTGTGAAGGACACCCCAATATTGTGAAGCTACATGAAGTGTTTCATGATCAGGTATTTCACAGGCTTCCTCAATCCATGCACATGTACTAGTTCGTATGTAGGGTTCTTATTGGTACAGCTGAGTGAGAATCAGCAACATGTAATATCACCCAGTCACTAAGAAGGAAAGAGAAGCCAGCACACACTGTCTCACCTCTGCCTCAGGTAATCCTTCCACTGTGGTGGTAGATTGTTTATGGTTTAGTAAAGCTTGCCTGAAGATTCAGAAAGCAAAGTCAGCCCCAAGCTATAGAGATCAGGCAGTGGTGGTACACACCTTTAATCCCAAGACTCAGGATTAAGGGGTAGATGGTTCTCAGTTAGTTCAAGACAACACTGAGCTACACGAAATATAGCCAGTCCTAAAGAGAAACAGCTCACACAAAGATGATCTCAGCACTTGGGATCACACGCCTTTAATCTCAAGACTCATGAGAGAGATTTAAGACAGGAACAGGGGTTCAGAGGTGGCATTCATTCTCCAGCCACACTGAGGATAGGAAGGCATTGAGTCTTTAGCCACATTGAGGAGAGCATAGCAGATGAGTGAATCTGAGGAGCAGTGAAGTCTGGAGCAGTCTGAGGATCGCCCCTTTGGTCTGAGCTGAGATAGAGGTAAGAGCTAGTAGCCAGCTGCTTTGCTTCTCTGAAACTTGAATCCCAGTATCAGTCTCTGGGTCTTTCATTTTTTGTGTTAGGTTCCACTTCCACTTGCCTCTATTGCTGCCATATTAACATGGTGGATGCCTGAGGGGCAAGCACTCAGTGTGCCACTGTTGCAGATTGCAGTGTGCTTATTGTGAGTGCAGCTGCCACCCACCATCATGTAATCAGTGCATATTCAACACTTGGTGATTTTAAGCCTTCAGCATTCTTTTCATGTCTAGCATCAAACAGTCTCTTAAGCCCAATTGCTGCAAGCTAAAGCACAAATGGGAAGCAGAAGACAAAGATGCTCCCTTGCATCTTGCTCCAGGTGGCAACATCTGCTCAGCCTCCAGGACAGGTCCTTCTGTGTTCTCTTCTACCCTTAGTTCTGCTTTCCAACAAAGTCTCACATGGAATCTTGTCACTTGGACATGGGAGAGAGCATCACTGTGACAGGTCCATAGCACTTCTCAGTTTCCTCCATTGCCACCTCCCATGCCTGAAATTGCTCCATTTCAGTATTATTTTCCCTGACACTGGACAAGCATCACAGACTTCTCAGGACAGCATTAAGGCACAAATGCCAAAACTTGTCCTGGTGAATGTTTTGCTCTAATTTTATCAACAAAGGATCTGAATCCTAAAGGTCATGAGACTTGTACCAGGGTCACAGTGGGGGAAAACCTGGTAGGGAGAACCTGTTCCAGGCACGGCACTCACCATTGTGTTGCTATGACATTCTTGACTAGAATAGCTGGGACCTGGTTCTGAGTAGCACAGCTGAGAGTGACTCATCATGGTGATATCAGGTAGCAGCAGGAATACATTGTAAATACAATTTTTGCTGCCTGTTATGCAGCGTGTGGTGCAGGCACTGCAAACCCAGAAAACAAAAGTCAGAAGGTCAGTAACAGTTTCACAGTTTGTTGATGGTGAAGCTGGTATCTGAGCCCCATCTTTCCAACTTCAGAACCCAACAAACTTTTAATGACTTTGCTCTGCTATCTTAGAGGAGGCAAAACCAGCCTTTTTATGTCAAGTAATAAATGTCTAAAATGGGTATCATTGTCTCCCTCCTCTTGCTCTCATGAAAATGGATGCTGAGAATGCTTCCCTTGCCACTCCACTGCCGGCTCAGATTCTCATGGGAACAGTGAGACCCCTGTCCATTCCCAGCACACAGTAAAATATGGTGTCCTGTTGGTGCAAATACAGAGAAAATTAACCTCTCAATCAAGAAACTGATGGTTGACCCCAGACATCCCCACCTGTAGTTTGGCATCTGTGACCCTCACTGTTTCTCAGCCCAGACATTTGATCTTGGATCTTCTGACTAACGTCTTATCTCAAGAATTACATCCCTAGTTTTTTAATTTATGTTACCAGTTGATTTTTGGCAATTTTTAAGGATTCAAGAGTCACTAGAATAGAAATTTTCTTATGATATAATGCTACATGTAGTGTTATAAATATTATAATAATTCTGTTATGCACTTACTGAAATATGTTTAGTTTTTCCCATGATAATGACATGATTAATTCTCATATCTATACAGTCCTATTTTCAACTAGTGGTGGGTCTTCAGTCTTCAGCAGTACAGGAATGCAGCTCATTGTGTGTGCCATGATCTGTTTTACATCCTGTGTGTTCCTAATTGCTGCTATAACCACAAACTCAATATGCTCACTCTTTAAACAATGAATGGAGGTAACAAGTCCCAAATTAGTCTTACTGAGTTACAGTCAAGGCGAAGATAGGGCTGGCTCCTTCTGGAGACTGAGGGACAACTTGTGTACTTGACTCCTAGCCTCTGGAGACCACTCATTTTCTTTGGCTTGCTGTCCTTCAATGCAGTATTCTACTCTTCAGTCTCTTGCTTAATCTCATACCTCATATGCTGATGAATAATTCAGGGTAATCATCCCATCTCAAGAATCTTGATCATAGGGTCTGGAGAGATAACCCAGTGGCTAAGAGCACTGGCTGCCCTTTCAGAGACCCTGGGTTGAATTCTGAGAACTCATGCAGTCCCATAGGATCCAGTGCCCTCTGCTGGTGTGAAGACACATATACAGACAAAACACACACACACACACACACACACACACACACACACACACACACACACACACACACACACACACATCTTAATCATGGGCTGGACTTGGTGGCATACAATCCCAGCACTCAGAAGGCAAGGATAGGCAGATATCTTAACTTCAAGTCCTGCCCTGTCTACATAGTGAGACCCTGTCTCAGAAACATTAAACAACAGCAATAAAGAGTCTTAATTACATCTACAAAGTTCGTTTTGCCCTCTAAGATAAAAAACACAGGTTTAGAAATTAAGATATGGCTATCTAGAGGCCATTATTCAAGGTGTAGCTTTTCTTATTACCTACATTTTATTGATAAGGAAAGGTCCTAGAGTTTATAAAGGTAAAACTAATTCTGAAGATCATTTTTTTGGTAGCTACTGTGCTATTTTCTTCAAAGAGATAATGCAAAGCATAGTAAATATGTAACAAAATTTTGAAACAAGATAATGCCAGTAGAGTCAAACACAGTTGTTTTAAATGAAACACACACACTGAATTATGGATAATTGCAGTGAATATATACAGGAATCCTGTAATTAATCTTTGAGCCCTGAAATTATCAAACAAAGTAAACTTTCAGTTAGATGAGTGTCAGCAGTTGCATGTAACACTAGTTGGTAATTCTCTGGATCATTTCCCATAGATTATCAGATTATTGTCAGCTCAGTTCGTATTTTTAAAATGAAAATATAAAAACTCAAGAGAGAAGGTTAGAATAGAGTTCAAATAAAAGGAAATGAATTAAAAGATTGAAGATTTTGCTGAAATACTTGAAGGATTTTCATTGCTAAAATAGAGTTCAGAAAAGCTCCATCATCCTTTAGCTCTTTGTTCTAAATACAGACTTTGTTCTAAATGACTGTTGTTGGTTGTTTAAGCAGGGATTATTTAAATGTACTGATCAGTAAATACTCTGTACAGAAATACGTGTCTACACCTTTCAGAAAGGCCCTGCATTATTCTTTTTCTAGCTCCATACATTTCTCGTGATGGAGCTTCTAAATGGGGGAGAGCTGTTTGAGCGCATCAAGAAGAAGAAGCACTTCAGTGAGACTGAAGCCAGCTACATCATGAGGAAGCTCGTTTCAGCCGTGAGCCACATGCACGATGTTGGAGTAGTGCACAGAGACCTGAAGCCTGAGGTAGGACAGTGGCATCCCTGCAGCTCGACCTGCTGTCATTCTTAGCTGCCCTCACGTAGTTGTCAGGCTCTCTTTCTCTAGTGCCAGGAAGTAAACACTGGGAGATGTTTCTTAGGTTGTTTTTATTTTTTTTCCCATTCTCTTTTCTGTGTCAGTCTAAAATAAGTTTGTCCTCTTTTTTTTTCCTCTTGCCAGCTGATCATCTTGAGATTATATTTGTAAGTGTGAGAGCCTTTTATGGGAAAAATACTTCATGCAACAGTTGTATACTAAAAATAGCAATGGAAAATTTTGTGGCAAAAAATAATAGCCCTTCTATATGTATTCCATCTTAGAAAGTTTGTTCTTTTGATGATGTATTTTGAAACCTTATTTTTCACATTTTTAAATCAAATTGATAGCTCCTAAACAGCAATGTACATAATTCTATTCTGCATAGTTACACATGAAGAATTAATAAAACTGTCCTCTGCATGTGCGTCTGTATGCTTGCACAGTGTGGTATTTATAGACCTGAAGAGCAGTGCAGAACAACGGCTTTTTATACTTCTTTCAGAAGGTTAATGAAGAAGTTTTAACTCAGAATGATCCATTTTTGGTATCAAAAATATGAAAATTCCTCCCTTTTTAAAAACAAGTAATAATGAAACTTTAAAAACAAAAAACAGTGACTTTTAAAAAACCAATTAATCATTCTTTACTGTATGAGAAATTACACATATTTCTGATCTAAAATAGAACATTATTTTTAGTTCCCATGTGATTGTAATATATTTTCAAGTCTATTTAAAATGTTAAAGAGTTTGATATTCCTTTTTATTATACCAGAAAAGAATAACTCTGTAAAAGCAATTTTGTCTTGTACTTAAATTATTAAAAGTTATTTTTAAAATGGAAATACGTGCATTCAAATGCACAGTTACTCCTCTGTATCTGTGGAGGATTGGTCCCTAAACTTCCTTCATATATAAAAATCTAGGAATACTCAGTATCTTACATAAAATTGTATGTTATTTTCATACAACCTACATGTATCCTTTTTTAACTTTAAATCCTCTCTTTAGATTACTTACAGTATCTAATTTGATATAAATGCTATGTAAATAATAAATAGTTTTCTAAGATATATTGTATATCTTAGGAAATAGTGACAAGAAAAAGTTTTTAATTGTTTTGTGGGTTTGGGGTGTTTGTTTGTTTGTTTGTTTTTTTAAAAAAAGATTTCTTTCTTTATTTTGTGTATAGTGTTCTGTGTGCACATATGCCTGCAGGCCAGAAGAGGTCAACAGATCCTATTAGGGATGGTTGTGAGCCATCCCTAATTGGGAATTGAACTCAGGACCTCTGGAAGAGCAATCAGTGCTCTTAACCACTGAGCCATCTCTCCAGCTCTGTTTGTTTGTTTTTTAAGGTTTTAATCCATAGTTGCTTGAACTCACACTTAATGGTCCTCAGAAATACAGAAGGCTGGTTACAGTTGGCTTATTCCTTTAATGGTGTTAAATTTCTGTTATTTCAGTTATTCACATTGCTAGTAATTAATCAAAAGTGACTGTGTCTTATGAACTTGCAACTATGATAGCTCCCTTTCTGCTTCCTTCATCATAGTTCTCACTCTCCTACGTAACACCCACTGAAAACATGGTGCTCTGTGCCTCGGAGATTAGCTGTCTATTTTTAAATGTGAAAGCACACCACTTAAATGTTTGCTTGATAGACAAGGAACAAGCATGTAACTTTTTAATGGAAAAGATCTGTTCCATGACTGTATAGAACTCATTTTCACATGTTTTATTCTTTGATATCTGGCCATCTGTCATCTCATGAGCCTCAAATGAGGCACATGTCCTCTGCAGCAGAATTTAAATTTGTCTTCTACTTTCCTGATAAAAAAGATACTTCTGTAGCTTGAAATGAAGCAAAATTGTTGGATTATACAGAATGTTCCACCACCATTTTATTCTTAAACTAGGTTTTAGGAAAGTAAAAATGTACCTTTGAACTAACATTTTCCTAACCATAGCTCTCACTTTGACTTTTAAATGGCAGAGTATATTATTTCCAAACTAAAAGTTTAATCTCTTTCCCATGCAGCATTTAGGTTTGACTATTTTTGGTAGATGGTTAAATGACATTCCTTCCCTGCATAGACATATCTCTTAAGTTCTAGGTGAGAATCAGACAAATTTAGAAGCTGGCTGACATTCTTAGGCTGCTTTGTAGTCTTCATATTGATCCTCTTAAGAGATTAAGAAAAGTTCTCTAAATGATAGTATTTCCAGGCAGAAATTGAAGCAAAGCTAGAAGTAGATGGATGGTTCCTCCCTACCATTCCTGACCATGTTCACACCTCATATAGAGCTGTCCTGACACTGCACTTCCTACCTGGGGGCAAGAGGTGGGATGTAAGTAGTGTGCTCGATTGAATTCAGGCCAAGGAAGTCCTTTGCTAGCTTTAGTGGGATAAACTTACCGTGTCCAGCGTCTTGGCAGGCAGGCCCTGTGGAGATGGAGCCAGATGTGCTTCTCCTAAGATGGGTAGCTGGCACTGTAGAGACCCTTAGGTATGACTGCTCAAGGACAGATACCTCCCAAGCAAACCCCTGTGAGCTATGACTTCTGTTGTCAAAAATTGATGTCTTGGCATTGTATGACAGAAAATTTAAGAAAACTGTTCAATTTTTTTTTTTTTAACTTCCTCGCACTTCTCTGCCTCTTGCTTTTTTTACATTAACTTTAAGGGTTTTCCTTACTTTTTATAATTTCGTAAGTGAGCACTATTTACATCATTTCCACTCACCTTCTCCACTCACCTTCACTCCAGCCACCATATCCCCTTCACTCCCTCTTTGATTGAAACTGAATAATCTGTCAGAGGGCTCATCCCTGGAGAAGACTGGTTCTGTTTTCCCTTTCTCAGCAGCCATCAATTGACTGTAGCTCTTCGTCTAGGACTGGGGCTCTGTGAGATTTCCCTCATCTACATTGAAATATCAACTGGTGGTATCACTGCAGGTCTTGTGTAGGCAGTGGTTTCCAACCTGCCTAACCATCTTCTTTTTATAAGGAAAACATTAGGAAATGTTCTTTATTTCAACTAGGTGAGCAAGAACGTAAATGATTGTTCCAGAACTGGAATCCTTTAATCACTATAGGAGCATAAACAACGTGTCTTAAAAACAAAATAATCAGAATGAAAAGTCAAAATTATTAAAGTAAATTAGTATAACTCCAGTGAATACATAAATGATGAAAAGCAAAAAGGCCTTCTTGTTCACATGGAGAAAATCTGGATAGATCAAACCCACCACGGCATTCCCTTAGCTAACCCAGAAGCAAGACCTTAACTCATAAATTCTGTAAAGACTGAGAGAGGTGAGAAAGCTGTAGAAGAGAAGTTTAAAGTTAGTAGAGTTGTCTCCTAAGGTTTATAGAAGTAAATGTACTCTGCCTGGGTGCTTAAGTGAACCAGCAGAGCCTGAATGGCGGCCTTTTGTGCTTACAACATGGTTCACTGATCATTTTTAGGTTCACTGTTAAGACCAACTGCTCAGAAAAAGACCCATTTCAAAACCCTGATGTTCATTAGCAGTGTACTGGTCACCCAGGAGTTCTGCTGAAGATGTGCATCAAACAAATGTATGCCAACACAATACCTATTTGGCAGCCCCTATATCAAATAGTTATTTAGCATTTGAGTCTTTCTATTTAAGACATACACTTAAGGTTATAGCTGTTATAGATCATAAATCTTCTGATGGATCAGAGCAAAATGCCCAAGTGAAAGGAAGAGTCATATATCCCTCACTTTAAAAGAAGTGATAGTGATGAAGTTCATTGAGGAAGGCAGGTAGAAAAGACAGACAGCAGAGGTACAAGATGTCTTGCCTTTGGCCCCCGCTGCCTGCCAGTTTATAGGGCTAGTTATTGGCCTAATTTCATTCATGTGTCTCAGAGAATAGATCGTCCTGAGGAAAGGAGAAAGATGGGAGACATCTATCACATGATAGTGTCAACACATATGCTTATTGATTACATTCACCATCATGCATGCAATTCATGGTCCTCAAAACAATGACAACAGTAGTAGTAATAGCAAAGATCACTGGGGCTGGACAGATGGCACAGTGATTAAAAGCACTGGCTGCTCTTCCAGAGGACCCAGGTTCAATTCCCAGCATCCACATGGTGACTCACAGCCTCTGTAACTAAAATTTCAGAGGAACCAACCCCTTCTTCTAGCTTCTGAAGGCACCAGGTGTAATGATAACTCTTTCTGCCAGCTACCTGAGTTCCGCTGCCACGTTAGGGCCCAAACAACACATGGAGTCTTATGTTAGTTACAATGCTGCTGGCTAATGACTAGGATTTCTAGTCATTTACTAGCTCTGCCTAAGTATCAACCATAACCATTAATCTATATATTTTATAAAGACTTATCTTACTGAGGATGCTGGCGACATGCGTCCTCTCTTGCCGGCGACCACATGGTGACTCCTTCTCTCTACTACATTTCCCAGAATCCTCCTTCTCTCCTAGTCCCTGCTAACTTGCTTGTTTATTGGCCAACAATGCTTTATTTACCAACCAATAAGACAAACATATACACAGAAGAACTTCCCCCATCAACCCAGGCACAGATACTCATGCAAGCACAACATTCATATACATAAACATAAATAAAATGATCTAAATAATCTAATCTTTAGTTATTAAAGATTACTGGTCACAGATCATCACATAAATGCAATAATCATGAAAGCGTATTGTGAAAAAGTACCCAGATCTGACAGACATAGGTAAGTATGGCCTGTTGAGAATGGCATTGAAAGATTTCCTCAGCATAGGGCTACCACAGACCTGTAGGCTGTTTTAAAAAGACAGCCTAATAAAATGAGTTACAATTGTGTTTACCTGTGTCACACCCTAGGGACAGCATCATTAATGAAGTGGACAGAGACCTCTCCCTTACATAATTATGGTCTGAGAGGGACCAGAACATTCTGCTAAAAACATAGAGATCCCTAAAGGGAAAGTAAACCATGATGAGAGAAAACAGGGGCAACTGGAACTTCAGTTTGGTGGAATTGTTAGGGCAGCCTCTGTAAATGAGAAGTAAGTGTACAGGAGTCAGGCTGCAGTTGAATGTGGGATGCTAGAGGAGTGGGAGACAAACCCAGACGGAGGGACAAATGGACACAGAGTCTGACTCGAGAAGAAGCATGGTATGTTGTTTTTCAGTCAGCTTAGAAGCTGTACCTAAATCTACTGATATTTTAATTACCTTCTGTAGCCCCACTGCCTGCAATCTGGCAAGACTTCTGGTCCCACCACACTGCTCCTGCTTAATGTAGTACTTCTTAATCAAGTCTATCATTCTGTTTACCACTAAAGACTTGGGAGTCAGATGTTGGGGAGAAAACCTGCTATCTCAGAGAAGCTCAAAAGCAACCAGTTGACCTTCTTTTTTGGCTGGAGACCCAACAAGACAGCTTCTCTCCAGCCATCCTAACCTCCCCCCCCCAAAAAAAAGACTGCAAAACTCCCAAGTCCCTCCCTACTCCTTCATGTGCATCTCTCTGTCTTCCTGACTTCTCCATACTCTCCCTGGATAATTTTTATCAACTAGTTGCTGGCTCTGCCCCATCCAAGATTAATTTTATTAACATGGTCTTGGGTTCACAGTACAATCAAATATCCCGCAACAGCGGTGTCATTGAAAAGTATCTGCCATGACACTATAAAAACTGAAGTGACACAAAACTATAAAAAAGAGGTCAGTGATATGCACCAGATTGTCCCATGAGTCTGTGTGCTTGAGTCGAATGCCAGAATACACAGATAGTATTCCATGGGTAGATTAGCAGGTCTCTGCCATTGCAATGAGAATCTAACCCTGAGTATTGGCATCTTACAGAATCTATTGTTCACTGATGAAAACGACAACTTGGAAATTAAAGTAATTGACTTTGGGTTTGCACGCCTCAAGCCACCTGACAACCAGCCGCTCAAGACCCCATGCTTCACCCTTCACTATGCCGCACCAGAGCTCTTGACTCACAATGGCTATGATGAGTCCTGCGACCTGTGGAGTTTGGGTGTCATCTTGGTGAGTTTGTCCTAACAGTCTCTATGCTTGGTTATCTCTCTCTCCCTCAGTGCTGTTTTTCTTAAGTTCATGAGAAAGCTGAATGTGCTGGCTTCTTTTCTGTATAACCAGTGGAAGCCCCACTATGGATATTTCTACTTCTTCAAGCCCATAACAGAAACAAATGTAGAATTTAGTTATTGGAAGATTGAAGTTGCTATGGATCATATAAAGTATACATTGTTGTTTTGAAAGAAGCAAGTGTTGTGCATATGCTATGTTAGATATGATGTGAAAATAGTGGCTCCTTAATAAAAAAACATACTCTCCAAAACTCCACACTAAAAACATAAGTAAACAAAATTGTTTGGGATAAATTGACAAATTTAATACATACAACAGAAATATTTATAGTACCTTACAGTAATATGAGGAGCATGCTCTTCACAAAGTGTGCATGATGAGAAACTAGAGAAACCTCCCCCTAGTTCACCTCAAAATAGCTTGACTTGATCTTCATATGAGCATGTTCGGGAGGAGCTTACGGACTCTTCAGAAAGATGTAACTGAAAATCTTGTCAGTCAAAGGTGATGCTGTAGAAACTTCTATCTCCCACCTTCCCTCGCTACATGGATGTGGATTTCTAAATCTGCCTTTGTCTCCACATGCATACATGTATGTGGGGTGGCTATTTAATTTTTCAAATCAATGTGCTATATCTGTAGTTTTAATCTCCAAAATTTATTGAACCATTTCTTTGATAATGAGCAATTAGTATTTTCTCCCTTTTTTCATTAGTTATAAGCAGTAAGAACGAATCTTCATATATACAACTGCACTTGTCTCACAGTTTCCTTAGAATTCCCAGAAGGGTACACATATTTTTATTTTAACATAGATGCCTAGATTTTCTTCTGTCAGGTTTACCAGGCTCAGTACTGAACTGCATGTGAGCACACTGATGTCATCGATTTTAACCTTCAGGTGTACCTCACTGTTCATAAGATTTGCAGGCATTTCTCTGATGAGTATCCAGTCTGAGCATCTTCCCATACAAGTGAACTTTCACGTTTTTGTGTCATGGATTGCCATGTATGAGTTTGCCTGTTTTTCTGCTAGGCAGCTTTTTGAATTAAAGCTATAATAAAAATTTTTAACCCTTGTCTGCCATCAATAATTGGAAATGTTTCTCTGGCTTATCTTTTTTTTATAGTAAATAGGATTTTGATTTTATTTTTAGAGAAGTTTAAGTAGAGTCATGTTCTCTTTATTTAAATTTCTGTATGGTAAGATATGTCAGTCTTTTCTTCATGGTGTGTGGCTTTGGTGTCACATTGTCACTACCCCGGCCCTCACTCAGGATTACAAAAATATTCTCTAAACTTCCTCTAGAATCACTCTGTCTTATTTTTGTACTTCAATCTGTGCTCCATCTGGGGTTTATTTTGGTGTCAGTTTGTTTTCCCCCAGTGGCTAGCCACTTGTCCTGAATGATGGCTCTTTGTTTTTAATCCTTTTCTGGTTTTTATCTGAGCAATTTATCATTTATCACTTCAAACTAAACTTACATATTTAGGGATAAGAATTTTTTAATAATTCACTTAACTTTATTTTATGTGCATTGGTGTCAGATTCCCAGGAACTGGAGTTATACTGTTAGACCCCCGGAAAAACTCAGGTATCCAGGGTCCAGGCCACAACCGCAGTCACCCCAATCACCAGGCAGATTCGAGAGCTTGATGCAAACTGCATGAGGCTTTATTGTTTTTTAATGAGCTAACCACATGTTAGCTCGGGTCTTTCACCCACCCGCCATGGCTGATGGCTAGCAAAGACAGCTCGAACTGGTTACCTAGCGATCTTGTAGGGCAGCATAAGGGGAATGTCTAGGGGTACGCACAGACTCAGGATTGGTGTGCCTCCAGACTTGAAGGGCTTGCCCTGTGTTGATTGGCCAATTGGTTGTTATGGCCCATAGGCCCTCCCATGGTGGTTGCTATGCTCTCTATGTCATTGCTGTGCGCTTGTCCGTAAAGCACACCCAGGGTCGTAAAGTATAGCGCCACCAGCTAACTTCTGATTGGCTCCTTGTCACGAGACAGGCATCTGACTTTCTAGTGTCTGGGACAAGGTCATAGAAGCACATGTTCGGCCATTATGGCTGCCAAAAGGGAAGCTGGTTCCTTCATTCCCCCATTTTCTTTTTTGGAAATTCCAATCATGGAATTGCTGTCTCTCTAGCATCCCCATCAGGGAGTGATAGATATTGGCATCCCCATGCAAGGGAGTTCCTTTTGACTTAGCATTTTAACCAGGGAAAATGGACGGCGAAATTCTTTTCCAAACTGCTTCCTACTGACTTTGGGACGAAGTTAGGGACCCCAGAAGGTTGAAATGCTAGTCAAAAGCAAAAAGGAATTTAGGCAATGGGGAATCCATCAGGGGCTTCTGGTTAGCAGACACTGTTGCAGAGACAGGGGGTGTCCATATCAGCTGGACTGGTTCACATCCACAGCAAGTTCAA